TTTTAGGCTTCCCCATCATTCTGCAAACTGGGGTGGGTGTGTGTGGCGACTTTTGTTCGTGGGTCCTATATGCCATCGCTTGGCTAAGCAGCCCCTGAGCTGCAAATAAATTGCTGGTGCCTGTGCCTCCGAGCCTCACTGCAACTCTTGCATTGTCCCAGGTGGCTGGGCCAGGGCAGGCAGAGCTCACTCAGGGCATGTGTAGGTGGGCAGGAGTGGAGGTGCCTACGCTGGTAATAAGCAGTCATCACTTTTCCTGAAGGCAAGAAATATGAGCCCATGCATAGTTTTAAAACCACTTGCCCTAGGAATTTTGCTTTCAGAAATTTTTAAGCAGACCTACAAATTATGTGGTAAAGTGTCCGACATGGAGAGAACCATAATAAGTCAGTGGCCCTCAGAATATCTAGTTGGGAACGATTATGAAATAAAAAACGAACAGAGGGACATTTGTCTCCATTTGGACTGCTGTTAAAACCATTTTTTTAAAACAAAATTTGAAGTTATTCTCCCTACACCCACCTCCCAAAATGCAGCTGTGGTGTTCTGAGAACATTTTTGTTTTTTTGTATAAAAGAGAGCAGTCTTAGAGTGAAACAAGACATCTGATTTCAGAACCCAAAGAAGAAAGAATAAACTAAATGAACGATGGAAAAAGCATAAACTGACAATTTCCATTCTCAAAAAAATAAATAAATAAAAAGCAGCATTTTCCCAACAGCAGGTGTTGCCAGTAGCACAAATGGAATATTAACCTTATCTCCTGGGCCATTCTTCCTGACCCGAAGAAGACTTCCCCAGAAGTAGAGGCAGAGAGATGAGGTTTTGCCCTTCTTGCTTGCAGGGCTGCAAAACTGGGTGTCCAGTATGTTTCCCAACCCCGGATCCACATATCCATGTGTCTGAGACCAAGTGCAGCCTCCTTGCCGGGTTTCTGGGAGCAAAAGTGGCTCATCCCTGGCCCAGCCAAACCCCAAACCCACAGGTTTCGTGGGGAGCAGCCAGCTGGCCCCTGAATGAAGGTATCGATGAAACCCAGCGCCAGCAAACACAGAAGAGAGAGGAGCTGGTTTTGGCTGGCCCAGCCAACGACCGCTGACAAATATTTGTGAATGGCCAGAGCAGGGAAGCCTGGGTCTCCATTGTTGGAGAATGAGGCCCAACCCCAAGTCTGTTCCAGTGCCCTTAGCGGCCCTTTTGGCTCCTTCTCCGGCAAATAACTTGGACCTCATGCAGTTATCACCACCGAGGTCTCAGTGGCCATTCAGCCCTTTCTCTCCATTAGTAGAGGTCACTGCGGTCTTTGTCCCAGAGTGTTCGTCAGCCAAGGAGGCTATAAAGGAGACTGGGAGACAGACGGGAGATGGCTGCAAGGTGCTGTGATTAGTTGACAGGCTTAGCCCACTCATGGAGCCCATGGCAGTCCCTCTGCCGTGGGAGTGCACCTCATGGAGCCTCAGTTGTCTTATCTGTCGACTGGGAAGAAAGGTTCTCGGCCCGCCTGCACACAGAGGCCAGTCCCAGCAATTACTTGCCCGGAGAACTAAGCAAGGCCTTGTGCAGGAAGAAGGAAAAGGGAGGACAGAGGGACAATCTTAATGCCTCTTCCTCCAGTGGCATCTGGTTTCTTCTCTGCCCTCCCGGGGCTCACCCAGTTGATTCTATCTGCCGTTTAGCTCTATATCAAGACCTCCTTCTTTTGAACCTGTTAGTCTTGCCTACCCAATTAGGAGGGAACACTTGAGGTGGACTCCCTGGCTTCCCTCCCAACTGAGGATGGCTTTCCACATGTACAAAGGAGCCGCCGCCCAGCAAGGGTGAGCCTGAGCACTCCCACTAGTGCCAAGTGGCCTGGGGCATTCTTGGCCATTGCTAGATTGTCAGGACTGGCTGGCTCCAAGCTCTTTCGAACCAGGAAGACATGGAATTCCGGGTCCCTCCAGATTTCCAGGAATGAGCTGCAAAAGCCCTGCAGGAGCCAGCTGATTTCTTTCTGGAGCCCCTGACCACCAGCCATGTAGCAATTACTTCCTTCCCCTCCAGGTAGACAGAAGTTGTTTTCTTTTCTGGGGGTGGAGGCGTGCACTGGGTAGAGAGAGGGAAATCCCTGATATGGCAAGTGGGAAACCAGGCAGTTTCAAGACGGATGTTGGGAAGGGCTTGGTCAACCATCCTTTGGGGACATTTCTTGGGCCATAGCTGCAGGCGCCACAAAAATTCTAAATAAGGATGACAAAAGTTGTGAGAATCAATTATTATCTGCCAGGGAATTTCCAAGGTTCCTCTCTGGGCTTAAAAATAACTCACGTTGAAAGAACAAAGAGCATGGAAGGAGCAATTAGTTGAAAGTAATTGAGAAGTTAAAGGAGGGAGAATTCACAAAAAGTCACAGGCACGAGGCGCCCTGAGGAGTGGTCTGTGGGCCACAGTTTCTGCTGGGTTCTCCAATGGGGGTTGCCTTATACTCTGCAGAATGAGGGCTGCAGCTCTCCATGCTGACTCAGGCATTTGGGGGTGGGCTGGGCTGGGTAATCGGAAGGCCAGTTGGTGGTAGAATCACTGGGAGGAACCTGACTCAAGGGCCCCACTTTTCTGATGGGGCCCAACTCTTCTCCAGGTGCTGGTGCCGATAGCTCCTACCCTGCCATGGGGAGTGAGACTGAATATTTCAGCAATGCCATTGAGGAGGGAGGTGTGTTTGGGAATGGAGGGGCTGTCTCTCCCACCCAAGTGTCAAGGCAACAGTGCCCTTGCCCAGGAATGTATATCAGAACCCAACAAGATTGAACTTGGACACCAGGGATGAAAAATGTCATGCAGGCCTCCTGAGAAGGGCCCAGGGCATGCCTAGTCAGCAGGATTCAGTTCAGGGTGCCAGATTTTTACAGATATTTTAATAATGATTCTTAAATTATTGAAATAAATACAGACAACCCCAAACCTTGGACACTGTATATAAAAACAAACCTAAGAAGACTCCGAAAGGTAGAAAGCAGACAGACAGGTCAGGGACCTTGGGAGCTGAAGAATGACACACGGGTGATTTCCTGGGGTTTTCCTCTTGGCTCAGATATCCCAGACTTGGAGCTAAAGAAACTGGAGACCCAGAAACACGCTGAGGCCCAAGCAGACAAACAGAGCCCCAACAAAAGCCTACTCTTTCTAGCCAGAGGACCAGGAAAGGGGCAGCCTAGCAAGATAGAAAACTCGAGACAGTAGCTACTTTCCTCCAGCCAAACACCCCTGCAGGAACTGTAGCCCCACTCCCACCCACCACTTCACTGGAGGTCCAGTGAGGGGCAAGGTACCCAATACCCCAACAGGGTGGGATCAAAGGGACTGTCATCCCCATTGGGGATAATGAGCTACTAAGCTTTTCAATGGTGGCTTTTCAATGAAAAAAATGTTTTATTAATTTTAGTGGGAAAAAAATAATGCATTTAACCCCAACCCAACCCAGGATACCCTCAATTTTTCACAGATAAAATGTATCAAGTAAATATTAAAATTGAATTTATGTAAGTAATAAGCAATAAGTTGTAAGTAAATAAATACAATTTGTTCAAAACATGCTGTGCAATGAAGGTCTGTGGTACCCAAGATGGGTGACGGAGGAGGTGCAGAGCTTATTCTTTAGAAGTTTATGTTATCTTTCTGCAAAATCTTTCCACTATTTTACAACCTTTGAGGAATTCCTGCTTATCTTGTGCTCCAACTGCACTTCCAGTAAAGTTGTGGCATGGAAAACACCCTGAGGGTAAGATGGAGTTTGAACATAGTAGTGCTTTGAGTGGCAGGAAGCAGCCTTCGAGCCAGCCAGAAGGGTCATGAGAATGCCCCTCACCACCTCTTCACTTGTCTTTTGGCCACAACTCAAAAGTTTGGGGTTTGTTCCTGGTGCACAACTCATACCTGTTCCCTGTGCTTACAGAGTGTTGCCAGATGAGCCTGTCTTGACCTACACCCATCATGTTAAATATTCCTTCTGTATCTGTTTGCTAGGTTGCTATAACAGAGTACCACAGACTGGGCTGTATAAACAACAGGCATTTTATTTTCTGACACTTCTGGAGGCTGGAAGTCCAAGATGAAGGTGTCAGTGGGGTTGATTTCTTCTGAGGCCTCTCTCCTTGAATTGCAGATGGTCTCCTTCTTGCTGTGTGTCTATGTGGTCTTTCTTCTGGGCATGTAGCCTCCCTGGTGTCTCTATGTGTCAAAGGTTCCTCTTGTTATAAGGCCACTAGTCAATTCGGATTAGGGCGCACCCTAACAGACTCATTTAATTTAATCACCTCTTTAAAGGTGATTTGTCACATCTTATCTCCAAATACAGTCACATTCTGAAGTATGGGGGGTTAAGGCTTCAACATATGAAGTTTTGGGGGGTGATGGGGGACACAATTTAGCCCATAAAAAATTCTTATAGCATGTTTAGTTTGTGGGTTTAGGGGTAACAATGACAATGTTCCAGGAAAAAAAAAAAAAAAGTTGTTTGAAAGGGATATAACTTTTCAAAAAGCATTATGGTGAATAGTCATTCGTAGGAAGGTGCTTGTGAGAAGCAGGTCTGTGTATGCATCTTTGCTGGTACATGCATAGACTATGTCTGGAAGATTCACACATGTGGAACGGCGGCTTCCAAGGCCATAAGTGATGACAGAGTCAGAGGCAGGAGGGTTCCCTGTTATCTGCTACTGGATTTTTAAAATTTTGTTCCACATGCATGCATTCACACATATTCTAATAAGTGAATAAAGTACTGATTTTAAGGAAAGAATTGGCTTTGGTCCTCTGCAGTAGCAAGGACCCGTCCGCCTGTTCTCTGCTGTATCCCCAAGCGCTGTCACAGACTCTGGCACGTAGAAGGTGTTCAGGAAGTGTTTGTTGGAAGAATGAATATATGGACAAGGCAATGACTTCCTGTTCTGGCGGCTGGGCACAGGGACTCTGACTGGCCCGCCCAGTGATCGCCCTCTCTGTCTTTCCTCTTCCGTTTCCAGGCGGCAGCAGAGACCTCCAGGGGGGAACAAGCCCCAACAGCATGGTGACCACCAGCCAGGCAGTGCCAAACACAACAGGGACCACCAGAAATCGTACCAGGGGGGCTCAGCGCCCCACCCCTCAGGGAGGCCCACTCACCACGGCTACAGCCAGAACCGGCGCTGGCACCATGGCAACATGAAGCACCCACCAGGCGACAAGGGGGAGGCAGGCGCACACCGCAATGCCAAAGAGACCATGACCATCGAGAGCCCAAAACTAGAGGACACTGCAGGAGACACCGGGCACAGCGGCCTCGAGGCCCCCCGCAGCCCTGACACCCTGGCCCCAGTGGCTTCTGAGCGGCTGCCCCCACAGCAGCCAGGGGGGCCAGAGGTTGAGACAAAACGTAAAGACAGTATTCTTCCCGAGCGCACTGGGGAGCGGCCCAAAATTACCCTGCTCCAGTCTTCCAAAGACAGACTGCGGCGAAGGCTAAAGGAAAAGGTACCGGTAATTGAATTTTTGTTGTTCTCTTGCACCAGGGAGGACAGCAAGAGGTAGGCACTTTGGTAGGTGGGCACAGTGGGTTTGGGGGTCTGGGGAGCCATGTACAGGGAAGCAGGGGCTTCTATGACTGCAGGGACCCACCACACTGGTCCACCACTGCCAGCAGCTAGGGCCATCATGAACCCCTCCAGCACACTGGGGCTTTTCACCCTCTAGCCTCCAAGAGGCCCAGGGTAGGCACTTGGCACCAGCCCCCAGCCCAAGGGAGTCGAGGGAAGAGATACATGCCTGGGAGTGATGGGGGAGGTGCAGGGAGCATTTTCTAGGGTTAGATATTGTTTGTGCTGAAGGGACACATGTTTTTCCCCAAACGGGGAAACATGGAGCTTATGAAAGAAGGACTGAAGCTTTTCTACAGGTGGGTACCATCCAGGCAGAGGTGAGTTGTTCAGAGTGGGAGCAGGCTGATTCTAGCCTTCCTGTTTCCTGCCTTCATCATCCAGCGGCCAGGGAGTGCTCTACAGTGCAGACCGTAAGGCGGCTCCATTCTCAGCATCACGCAGGTGCCCGCCTGCGCCAGCATAAGCCCGAAAGTGAGGCCTCCTTACGTTTGCTCCCGGGAGCCTCTTTCTGCACCCTGGTCCTGGCCTGGCCCACAGCTTCAGTAGATGACCCTAAACCTCCAGAAGAGGGCTAGGGATTTGTACTGGCAGCATTAAGTCTACTGTGCTCACCCTAGCACCACCACCCCGACCCCACTGCCCAGCAAGGGCACAGGTAAGGTCACCCTGGAGAGGACCTGTCCCAAGAAAGGCCAGCTTGCCCACAACCATCCCACACAGCAGCAGCGCCTACAGAGTCTTCCTCCTGGGGCTTCTGCAGAGCTCCATGTTCTAGGCTTCTCCTCCATCTTCCTCTACTGCAGGCCCAAGGTCCACACTCAGGCAGGATAAGGCAGGTCAGACCTCTTCTTGGATCCACTCTTGAAGATAAGATGCTGCTCCCAGTATCCGCCCCACCAAGTCCTCTAGAGTTCTGCTAAATGTAACTGCAGGGCGGCAGAATGGAAACAGCACGGGCTTTAGAACGCAGCTGAGCAGGCTCAGACTTCACTTTGCCTTTGACTGGCTGGGTGGTCTTGGGCAAGTCACCTAACCTCCCTGAGCCCCAGTTACTCATCTGTAAAATGGGCGTAATACTACACACCTTGCTGAGAGACTGTGAAGGTTAAATGAGAGAACGTGTACAGATGTGTTCTTGTGGGTAGTTCCTATTCTATATGCAGACCACTGTTCCTGCCCTGGGGCCCAGATGGTCTGGAGAGAGGAGTATCTGGGGGAATGGAACAGAGAAGGTAGATCTATAGATCAGTTTCAAGAACTCTACTCAGGCGAGGCCTCCTGAACTCCTCGACCAAGAAGACATGGGCTCAGGCTCAGGCTGGGTCACTCCCCACTCTGCTAGCTGCTCACTCTTAAAAAGGGTAAATCCTAGGTGGCCACCAGCCACATCCTAAACATTTTCATCAAGGAAAGCAACACTGTCCTTCTCCCTTTCAAGAGACAGGTAAAGCGTGAGATGTCTCTTGGGGTGGGGAGTTGTGTCCTATTAACTTTACCCAGGGACTCAGAGTAGCCTTCCCTGAAGAGGTGGTTGGGTTTGAGGAGAAGAACTAGGACACCCTATTCCTTCACCCAGGATTCAGCCCTTTTTTTTTTTTTTTTTGGAGACAGAGTCTCGCTCTGTCGCCCAGGCTGGAGTGCAGTGGTGCAATCTCGGCTCACTGCAAGCTCCGCCTCCCGGGTTCACGCCATTCTCCTGCCTCAGCCTCCTGAGTATTCAGTTCTCGAGCGAGAGACTATATGCCCTTGGAACTCGATCCCACCATGGAAGGGCTCAAGGAAAGCTATAGATTTTCTCATCTAACCTCACCATGTTACCTATGAGGAACCTGAGATCCAGAGAGTGAAATCACTTACCCAAAGCAACACAGCTGGAGGCACAGAGTGGGTGGGATCTAGAGCCTTCTAGCCCAGAGCTTCTATTGTCAGAGCTTAGAAGTCTGTGCCTTCTAGCCCAGAGCTTCTATTGTCAGGAACAGAAGAACAAGCGTGGATCTCATTTCATGACCCTGACCCTGCCCTTCCAGCCAGATCTCACTTCCCCCCAGTTAAGTTGTCCCCATTCTTGGCCACCAAGAATGAGTCAATACAATAAGATGACATTTTTTTCTTCTTCAAGCCCCTGATCTGATCCTAGTTGCAGTGAAACCTCATAAGGCTGTAGGGCTTTTTACTTGTAATGTCCCTCCTAGAAGCACCAACTGTTTTAGTGGCACATGGGAGGATTCCTTCGTGTGTGGCATATGTCTACAGTCTCCACAGGACAAAAAGCCAGGGCTGTGCCCACAGGGAGCCCTATGTCCAGAGAACAAGTCATCCTTGGACATTCGGAGCTGAGGGTGTGGGGGACAAGGTGGGCACTGCCTGGGCCGCTTTTAACCACCACTGCAGGCATTTTGGATCTGACCTGCCTTCCTGACCAAGTCTTCCTACCCTCATTTTCTCTTTGGCCCAATTTCATATTTGTTATCTTATTTCCTCTTTCATAAGCTCCATTAAATCATTTCTAAATTAAGCCATTTGATGGACAAATAAACAAAAAAAAAAGCCAATGTATGTGAGAATCCTGGGTAGGAGCTAGAAGCCAAAAGCAGTATCAGCCCTGGATGTCATAGGGGCCAAGAAAAAAGGAAACAAGGAGCTTTTGGCGCATGAGGGGTCTTTGGTGGAGGTTCCCAGAGGGACCAGCCCTCAGATCCAGGAAAGTAGGCCTGGTCCTGCTTTCTGGGGGTGGCCACCCTTTTTCCACTGGGCCACCCCCACACAGAGACCTCGGCTTCACTCAGGCACATTCATTTGTCTCCGACACCCCCAGGATGAAGTGGCCGTGGAGACGACCACTCCCCAGCAGAACAAGATGGACAAGCTGATCGAGATCCTGAACAGCATGCGAAACAACAGCAGCGACGTGGACGCCAAGCTCACCACCTTCATGGAGGAGGCCCAGAACTCCACCAACTCCGAGGAGATGCTGGGCGAGATTGTGCGCACCATCTACCAGAAGGCCGTGTCCGACCGCAGCTTCGCCTTCACCGCCGCCAAGCTCTGTGACAAGATGGCGCTCTTCATGGTGGAGGGAACCAAGTTCCGGAGCCTGCTCCTCAACATGCTGCAGGTAACCGGACGCCGGCCGCCACTGCCCCACGCCCCCTGCCCCTCTGCGTTCGGTGAGTTATTCCTAGCGAGAAGGCTGCGAGTTCTGGCCACAGTTGGACTTTTCCCAAGTTCTGCCCTTGCCCGATTAATTATAGAAAACACAAAGGCAGTCAAGGGGCCAGGAATGAGCGGCTGGATTTGTGTGTGTTTATGTGTGGGCTCCCTGGTTACGATGGACCAATATAATTTTATAGGTGCTTTATGTTTAACCAGCCTTTCCCACTTTCTATTTTCATAATGAGAGGCTGGCTCTTGGTCTCAACCTAGCTTTGTGCTTTGACCTCTCCACATGCAAGCAGACATGAACTTGCTGTGGACTTCTCTTTTCCTCCTCCTTCCACCCACGGCCAGATCCTTAGACCTTTGCAGGTGTGTAGGTGGTCATCGCTGGTAGTGAGACGGGTTTGAGCAAAGTCACACATGAGCAGAAAAGGGACAGTCTGTCAGCTTGGACGGAGCTTAGCAACGTTTCATCTCACAAATACCTGCTTGTCTGTATGGGCAGTAGCAGACAAGCTGGTGACCCCAAAACTGGTGACATCAGGCAGATAGCAGGGTCGTGGGATGGTGGCTATACCAGGTCCTGGGACTGTCCTTGGAGACCCTTGGCTGGGGCAGAGCCATTTCTCCTTTCCTCCTATTTTGTATTTTAGAGACTAGTTGAGATACAAAGTGAGTTGCCAGTCCAGGTGAGATAAAATGGTAGTTTCCAAGTAATGAAGTAGAATGGCAGGCTACAGAGCCATCTTAACTAGGTTGACCATACAATAGATCATCCGAACTGCAACACTTGTGAGAGTCAAAGGGGGTTCAGTTCATAATTATACCTAGACAACAGGTGTAAACAAGGGCACATGGTCACCCTCACCTTAACCACGTGGTTCGCAGTCTGCCGTCTTCCCTAAAAGCTGGGAGGAAGTTGCCGCTAAGGCCACCTCCGCATGTAGCCGGCAGGGCTCCATCCCCACCCACCCTCTCCTCTGCATGTGAGTTGCACTCACTGCAACATGAGCCCTCCCTGGCCAGCCTGGGCTGCTTCTCTCCTGCTCCAGGCCCTGATCAGGTTCCCATTCCTGGATCGCCCACACTCCCCTGGTGACGAATTCCCGTATTACCTGAGGGATTTGCACATGGGGCATGTTCCTCGCGGGCCGGAATGTCCTGGGAGCATGTGGAGAGTGGCGGGCAGGGAGAAGCCTGTCTGCCACGGAGCGCCCGGCACAGGCGAGTCAGAGACAGCATCAGCCTATGGTCTTGGCTTTAGGTTTTGTTTTTCAAAAAGGGGCCAGGATGGGGCAAGAGTTCTAGACAATGGTTGCCAGCTCCAAGTAACCCAGCCTGACCCAGTGGCAGACAGGCACCCAGGGCATGGGGCACTTGGGGAGGGCAACTGGCTGCAGGGGCCACCTCAGATCGGGCATTTCTTCCAACCTGCCGTGGTAAGGGTGGCCTCACCCACAAGTGTCCAGCAGACCATCAATCGTGGGGAACACTCAGCCACAAAGGGGGCCCTACGGCCCCTGCGCTCACCTCTCAATCAACCACAAAGTGCACTGGCTTAGGACAGCCTCCAGATGTCCCAGCAGGAAGGGAACCCGTTTGGCTGCGTTTAACTCAACAAAGTCCCCTGCATTCCCCAGCTAAGAACTTCTTGTGGGATTAGTGTGCTGAGAGACAGTTTGGCAAACACTACGGCAGGGAAAAAACACAAAATTCAAAGCTGGGAAGGAAGGATTCCAGACCTGATTCGTTTGTCATCAGTTGGAGCTTGGCCTCTGTAGTTCCCTCTGGGAAAGCGCAAACAATAGCCTTCATCAGTGCACCGTTGATTTTGCGCTGCTGGAGATGAGCTGGGGCCTCAGGAAGGGGCGCGAGGGACCCCGTGTGAGCCTTTCCCTTTCTCATGCTCCCAAGGCTTTGCCACTGGCAGGAAACTGTCCTGGGTCCCTAAATCCTCACAAACCCGCTCACCCCATATTGTGGCTCAATGGTAGGTCTGTCATGAGTGATGCAGGCTTTGGGACCAGCCCCAGAAACCCGGCCCTGTGGGTGCCACCTTGTCTCTGGGACAGAGAACTGGCAGTCCACATCCTGCTCCCCACCCCTCACCAGCCAGGCTGAACCTCCCACTACACCCTGCGTGGACGGACTCTCCCCCAGCCCCGAATTCACTTCTCTATCCCACTCTGAGCATGCACCTCCTCCTGAAGCAACTCACACTCCTTCTTCAGGTGGTGCTGAGGCCCCACTTTCCAGGAAGCACCGGCCCTTCTCCTGTCCCAGCACCTCTCATCCTGTAGCCACAATGTTCAGTCACCCTCCTAGTATTCACTGTGTGCCAGGCACCAGCCTGGGGACTGAGCGTACAGCAGTCAGTGAATGGGCACAGCTTTGTCCTTAAGAGGTTTGCAGTGAAGAAGGAGTTGAACTTAAACCAATGGCCATGTGAATCCACAGTGACAAACTGGGGTGTGTGCTGTTACTGCCCTCCTATCTTGGGCTCTGGGAGGTGGGAACCCCTCTACTTTCTGCACCTCTGTATCCCAGGGGCTGCACAGTGCCTGGTGCTAGAGGGCCCTCGGTTGTCATGGAGAAATGGATGTCTGAAAAGGAAGGCGCTAGAAGCCTACCTTCTCCTGAGCTAGGGGCCTGCAGGGACAGCTGAAGTCCAGGGCAAGAAGGGAATCCCCCCGCCACAAGGCAGTCACGGCTTACATTCTGAGGCTTCAGAGCAGCTCCTCCTCCCCTCCCCCACAGCAGAGGAAGCCAGCCATTTGCCTAGGTAGAGTACCTGAGGGTCAAGTCTTTAGAAATCGAAATGTCCACGTAGGCCACCACTCACCACTGTTCGCCACCTGCAGTCCCAGCTTTCATGTGAGCCAAGGAGGGAGCCCCTTGAGAGAATAACCAGAGGCTTGATCTGCGTACTCAGGCCTCCTGGGTGGCTAGACAATGCCCTTTCGGCTGCCATGGGAAGGCAGGTGGACTGTGCTGGTGCCGGGCTGCCCTGACCCCACAATGGCCCCCTAACTCCAAGGCCCAGAGGACACCTGAACCACATCTGGCTGAGCCTCCTCAGGCCCTGGGCCCCCTCTCTGCAGCCAAGGAGACAGAGGTGCAGCGGGCCTTTCTGGGCAGCATAATTCATGGCCCCTCACCACCCAACCCCAAGAGGTGCAGGAAAAGAAAGCGATGGGCTGGGCTTAGCACAACTAGCTTTCCCTCTTAACACCTCCAGGGATGTCTTTTTTCACCTGACTTCATTTTCTGGCAAACTATGTTTGCATTCCTTCCTGGCAGGCAGTTCTAGACCCGGCCTGCACAGCCTTCCCCACTGCTTCCTCCCTGAGGTTTGCGCTCAGCTCCATCCACTCAAGGCCCATCTGGCTCTGGGTCCCCAACCAGCACCTGGTTCGGTTTGGCAGCCTCCGAGATGCCCCATAGGATCAGGTTCAGCTACCATTTCCACACACAAGTTCTGGGACCCGGCTTAGCAATGCAGGCTCCAAAGGGGCCAGGGTGTGAAGTGCCTCCTTAGCGCAGCTCCCAGCAGCGGTCTTTACACTTGGTTCTCCCTGGCTGACTTCTCTTGCTGCCAGGGCTTTGATGATGCGAGCCAGCAGCGTGGAGGGAGAGGGGCAACCTCAGATGTGGTCAACAGTCTGCGGCAGAGGTCTAAGGGCTCTTGCCAAGCTGGGGTGCAGCCCCCGTGGAGTGGGAAGTGCAGGGTGGGAGAAGGGAGAAGGTCTAAGGTCCTTTAACCCTTCCCAGCCAGACTCAGCACTGCTATCTCAAGGAATCCAGAAGCACCATTCTCATGAGCCATGACAGTGCTGGAACCCCTGGGGTCTCAGAGGACCCCGTCACCAATCCCACAGCTCCAAAATGGTCTTCAATTTTTATATCCAAGCCAATTCCTTTTTGTCTGAAACGTGGCCCTTTTTTTAGTAGTGTCCTTGTAAGTAAAATTCTGTTTATTAAACAGACATTTCTTAAATGTACCAAGCATGTTGTCTTTATTAGGTCAGGGGTTCTCAAATTGGAATGTGCATATGAATCACGTGGCATTTTGTTTAAATGCAGATTCTGATGCAGGAGGCCGGGGATGGGCTTGAGCTTCTGCGTTTCAAACATGCTCCTGGTAGATGCTAGTGCTCTCATCCAGGGATCACAGTGGGAAGTCACAAGGCATTGAATGACTGAGGGTTTGTAGGTGGTGGCTTTGTTTCATAGATGGGCAGACTAAAGCACAGTCTCACCAGTGTGATTGTCAGAGTGGAGGTCTGGCCTGGGAGTATTGCATTTCAGATACTGGCTCTTCTTTAGGTCAGTGGTTCTCAGCCTCACGGTGCATGAGAATCATTAAAACATAGCAGGCAGGGGGCCTACCCCTAATCAGTTGATTTAGATTCTCCAAGGACACAACCTGGGCATTCCTTAGCCAGGGGGGAACACCGCCATTGAGACACCCCAGAGACACCTGACTGTTTCATCGTGGCCACTTATGAATCAGCTGGCTCTGCCTGTCTGCCGCGAACCAGTCAAGATATACCTGCCAGGTGCTGGGCTCTTTGCTGAGCCGTGGGGAGAACTCCGAGCCTGAGCTGGCGGGAGAACCCCGTTACACAGGAGGCCGCAGCTGCTGAGAACATGCCTTCCACTCCCCCAGCCTCAGGCCCTTCTCATCGTCACTCTGAGCCTCCTCCTTGATGAGATGAAAGCCACCTCTTCTCTCCCACTGCCTCCATTTCTCTCTGTCCTCAGCTCCTTTTCCCATTTTCCTTTTCCTTGGCCTGGGATATGTGTTGGAACAGCTATCACATGTTTTAGGGAAAGGGCCTCACTCTCACCCACGGTGCCAGGCTGTACCGGAGGCTGGGACTTCACAGTTCAGCCTGTCTCCCCGCACCCCTTCCCACCAAGGCTCCCAACTTCTCCGGCTTTACAGGGTCCTGACTG